CAGGAAGACCCTGGTGAACTTTGCAGGCCTGAGAAACAGCTGAATGTGTGGATTCCAGTCCTGGGTTGAGGGCCTCAGACCCAGGGCTGCCAAGGGCGGGAGCCCATGCCCAGCTCAGCCAGCCGGCCGGAGAGAAAGTGAGTCCTCCCTCTGCTGACTGATGCCCACCTGTGTCGGGGAGGGCCGTGAGTGTTCCTCAGAGCCAGTGTCTGCTAGAAACAGCCTGGGTGCACCCAGAAGTGGGGCCTAATGGGGCACCCGGGCATCCGTGAGGCATCAAGTTGACACCTACAGTTAACCATTGCAGCGGGCACATCTTCCCAACTTCAAGTCCTCCAAGGCCAGCAGGGCAGGAGGTGGGAGGAGCGGGCAGGGTGCTGACCCTTCAGCCTGGAATCTACGGTCCACGGCCTGGCCTAGTCACATGGGAGGCTGGGCCAGGAGGGGGCACAGAGGTGCTGGGGGAGCATCCACTGTCCCTGCTGTGGGCACGGACCCTCCCACCCCCACCTCTGTGCTGGGGAGAGCAAAGTCGTGCTTTCAAACAGCTCCTGTTCTCAAGGAGGTTGCTGTGTCTGGGCAAGCTGAGCCCGAGAGCCGACGGGGTAAGGCTGGGAACGGGGGAGCCCCAGGGGAGCCCAGGGGTCCCACAGAGCGGGACGCCAGCGCCGCGGGGAGAGCGGCTCCTGGGGGGGCAGTGGGAGCAGGGGGGTTGAGCAGAGGGAAGTCGAGCCCACGAGGCGGCGCCGCGGTGGCTGGGGTGCGGGGTGTTGCGTGCTCGGCAGAGGGGTTCAGGCCTCTGCAGTGTCCCCAGGGCTGGGCCTGGGAGGCAGAAGCTGCCCGGGTGACAGGCCCAGTGCGGGAAGCTGCTCTGATTAAATTTGGGAGCATAATTGCAGGGTTTGGGCTGCGGTCTCATTATGGCTTTTTTAATCTTGTTAACTTCTTTCCCCCCTCCTCGCCAGCCCCCCTTGCTCCTCTCCGCAACCACGGGCTGTGGCCTTAGAGCAGTACCAGGAATATTTTCCATCCCCCCATCACGGCTTTCTCCTGCTCCACAAGGGGTCCCAGGGGCAGGATGGAGTGCAGCAGGGGGAACTGGTGACCGGGGCTAGGCGTGTCTCAGCCAATCATTGTGTTTCTCACTCCCTGTTCCCACACCTCCAGTGGGTGTCTGGTGTCCCAGGGGACACAAAGATGCCAGGCCCGGTTTTAGTCTCAAGAGCTCACCAAACATGGCCCTAGCCGCCACCCCCTGCCCCCATTCATCTGCCAACATGGAAAAGCTGGGACAGATGGCAGCATCAGTGAGTGGGGCAGGGTGGAGAGCTCATGGAAGGGCTGAGGTGTCGGGGCCAGGTCCCGGGAGGTTAGGAGAAGGTCAAGGCTGAGCTTGGCAGGGGCCAGGTTGCAGAGGTGCGCCCCAGCCTGGGACTGGCCCTGGCCAGGCTGGGCCGGGCTGTGGTTGGTGACAAGCATGCCCTGGAGCTCAGTGGCTTCACACAATCTGGAGGGTGGTGGTTCTTTGTGGGTGACCAGTCCACAGTGGTTTAGGGACAGAGGGGAGGCTGAGGGGATTGGTGGGGAGGGGACAGATGAGGAGAGTGGGCTGCTTGGTGCCCAGGGAGGTCCTGCTGGCTGATGAGGCCAGGATGGTGGGGTGGTGGTAGGGGGTGGGATGGCGAGGATCTCTTGGCATCAGCTTCTCACGGCCATAGCCGAGTGGCCAGTGTTTGGGCTGTTAGCTCCCCTGGGGGAGTGGACACTGCCTCTGGGGCTGAGGGGAGAGGGTGCTGCCTGGGATCACAGTGTGTGTTCAGAAAGAAGCAGGTGATGGGGCTGCTACTGTGGCCCAGCCGGTTAAGCTACCGCCTGTAGCTGCCATCCCATACAGGTGCCGGTTCGAGTCCGGACTGTTCCACTTTCGATTAAGCTCCCCACTAATGTGCCTGAGAAAGCAGCAGAAGACGGCCCAAGTGCTTGGACCCCTGCCATCCAGGTGGGAAACCAAGGTGGAGCTCCAGACTCCTGGGTTTGGCTGGTCTGGCTCTGGCTGTTGCAGCCATTTGGAGAGTGAACCTGCAGATGGAAGATCTCTCTATCTCTCTGTCCTCCTCTCTGTCACTCTGCCTTTCAAATAAATAGAATAAATCTTAGAAATACAAAAGAAGCAGGTGCCTTCTGGAGGAAGGCCTGGGCGGCAGGGAGAGGAGGAGAGGGGCTGGGGCGGGCAGGGGCCCTGGCTGGTCACCCCCAGCTGCCTTCTGCTGTATGTTTTGTCCTCGTGACGCCCCATCTCCATCTGCAGCCCCTGCCCCCGGAGCCCCCTGCAGGGTCACGGCCCTTCCAGCCACGCAGGCCCCTCCTTCCTGGTGCTTTGTTCATAGCTTCCCCTCCTGCCCCACCCTGACTCTCCCTGGAATCTTTGCCCTGCCCACCCGCCGGGTCTCACTGGTGCCTGAACGCAGTCTCCCCTACGCCTGCAGCACACAGCATGCGTGACCCCTTTTCTGCCTCGGCTGATGGAGCCACAAGCAGGTCTCCCCCCATCTGTCACCTGGAGCTCCTCCGGGGAAGGGCTCGGGTCATTCACGGTCAGCACTGCTGCCCAGCCCACCCAGCCCGTGGGCACCTGGGTGGGCTCTGGCCATGGCTCCCTCCCACTGAGTGAATGGAAGCTGAGGCTGGGCTCCTGGGGGAGATGGCAGGGAGGGGGCCAGGGACCACACCCTGGCGACCATCAGGGCCGAGCTGGGCGCAGACTTCAGGCATGTTGCCCTCCTCCAAGGCCCCAGGCCCTCAGCCAGGCCAAGGGAGGCAAGGCCGTGGGGAGTGAGAGGAAAGGAGAGCCAGGTGGCCGGGAGCACGCGGCCCGGCACGTCGCCTCCTGGCAGGCTCCTCTGATGGCAGGTGGGGCACGACGAGTATGGAGCGTGGGCAGCTGTCCCCGTGGGCGGGAGTTGAGCCGGGTAAGGGAAAGGTGCTGTCTCAGCAGCCGCCGTGGGAGACATTGGCTTGGTTTGTCCTGTCCTGGGGAGGACAGAGGCACTGCCCAGACCACAGAGGCACAGAGAGCTCCCAGCTCTGTCGCCTCCTCTGCACGTCTGTGACACTGAGCCGGGGGCGGTGGGATGAGTGCTCCACTCAGAGTTCCTGGGCTGGGCTTCCCTGAAGCCCTGTGCAAGCTACTCCTCCCTGTCTATGGGATGGAGGGGCTGGGCCACGTTGGTCTCCGAGAGCCTTCTACCTCCTGCATGGCAGAGCCTGCTGGCACCTGCGTGATGACAGCCTGTGGGATGGCCAGCGGTTCCTCAGACCAGGTCACTCAAACCAGTGTAGGTCTCCCAGGGGTCTGGTTTGCAGCACCAGGTCCAAGGTGCTGGCTGGGAAAGAGGGAACAGAGGTCAAGAATACAACAGTTTGTGGAGCCAACTGACCCGAGTTTGCCAATCCAGGCTGGAGGGAGAGGGCAGAGAGCTCTGTGCAACCAGGCCAACCAGGGCAGGAGGCACTCCCGGGGGCAGATGGGTGTGGTCCAAGTCAGGCTCCACCCCTTTGCAGTTGTAGGACCTGGGGTTTGTGGGTCATTTAAATGAAATGCTGTAATGGCAGCCGTGTGGAACATTAAGTATTAGCACACACCTGAGATGGCTTAGCGGCGCTCTGCCTGGCAGATAGCAGGTGCTCAATGAACCTTTATCTCTTGCTGCCAGAGTCTGTGACCTCTGCAGAGGTGTTTGCCGGCCCCAGCCCTCATTCTTGCAACCTCCGTGTCTCTGGGTGGTTCTTTCCCTCAAGGTGGGTGAACTGGGGAAATGGAGCAGGTTCACTGCCGCTTAGACCATTTGCAACCATGCACCTTGCGGGGCTGGGAGGCCGGGCTGGGGCTCCCAGGTCAGGCTGCTCCAGGGACAGACCCCACCTCCACCTCCCTCCATCGCCCACCACCTGCAGGTCCCTGCTGCCAACACAAAGGCAAAGAAAAATGAGACCGACTCTGTGAGCACCTGCCCTGTGCCCAGCCCATGAAGGGAGGTTGCTTTGTCACCGGCTGCCTTGGCAGGTCCTGTGTGACTTCCCAAGCAGGGCCCGCCTCCTCACTCCAACTACAGGCTCCCTGAGGGCTCTACCCGGCCTCATTCCTCTGCCCACACAGCTCCCAGCACGGTGGCATCCAAGCAGGCGGTGGGTGTCTTCCATCGATGGCAGGGATGGGAGTGGCGGGCTTCCGCTCAGCAGCTGTTCGCCCCCGCCCAGCTGTGCTGCTCAAGGGCCCGAGTTTCAGCTTGATGAGAGAGATGTTGGACAGGAACCTAACAAGGAAGGCTAGAGAGGCAGCAGCGATGGAGTAATTAGACACTAATTAATTTGCATTTCACAGGGATGTTGTGGAGAGAGCTGCTATGATGAAAGGCCTCTTGGAGCGGGGGGGGGGGGGGAAGCTGGTGCTCACAGAGCGTGCGGAGCAGGCGGCACCCAGGGTACCAGTGTAGGGAGCAGGTGTGGACGTGGGTGGGCCCCTGCAGTGCCCATGACGGGTCCTAAGAGTGGTTCCCGCCCCTGCCGAGGGCGTGGCCCTGGGATGCTGTTTTCTGTTCTTGGGGACAAGAGGAGGAGAAGCCAGGAGAGACAGTGACCAGTACATGTGGACACACCTGCCTTTTCTGGAGCAGGGGTGGCGTACGCTTCCTGGGAAGGGCCATCCTGTACGTAACATAGGCTCTTCTTTGTAAATGATGCAAAAAAGCACCCTTAGTTCTGAGGCCATTTTGCTTTTCAACATGAAATGTGGAACCCAAGGCTGAGCTAACAAGTCCCCAGGGGCACACAGGGCCCCCTGAGAATGCAGAGGGTCTACGGCCCCTGGGAGGGAGGCTTCCTGGGAGCTGCTGAGGGCTGCGCGGTCAGACGCCGCTCTTGCTGGCTGGACAGAGCTGGGGCCGTGTGCTTAGCCTGTGTTCTGCTGCTGTCATAGCGACAGTGGGAGTGGGTGGTTCACAAAGAAAACTTTACTCGCTCACAGTTCCGGAGGCTGCAAGTCTGATATGGGATGACCACCCAGGGGAGGGCCTCGTACTGCCGCAGAGCACACTGGAAAGCAGAAGGGCAGTGGGTGCTTGAGGAAGAGAAAACTCAAGGGGCAACCTTGCTTCCCAACATCCTGCTGGCAGGAGAACCATCCAGGCCTGCAAGAGAGGCCCTGACCCCTCTCATAGACCGGGGCACCTCTTACAGGCCTCCCCTGCCTGCGCTACTGCAGGGACAGTCCAGTTCCACCCTGAGTTTCAGGGGAGACAGGTGCTGTTCCAACCACGGCAGCGTGTGAGGTCCTGGCTGCAGGTGAGGGACCCGACTTCTTCCCCTGGGGATGCCTCAGAGTTCACTCCCATGGAACTCAGCCTGTGACAGGCGACAGGGGGGCATCAGGGCTGCAGGCAGCAGTGGCCACAGGCTGTGCAACTTGACACTGGCAGGACTCACCTGGGGGGCAGGGCAGCCACAGGTTGCCATAGCAACCAGAGGTCCCTGAATGGCCAGGAGGTAGTGGGAGGGTGGAAGAGGAAGTGTGGGGTGGTGGGCACCTGGGGACCGGGTCTGGCCTTGGTCACAGCAGTGCTTTGTGGTTTTGGGCACAGACACCCCGCTGCTCCCTGAGTTCACGTTTCCCCATGAGTATCACCGGCTAGACTCTCTGATCCTGGCCGTGTCTCCTGTGACAGCTGTAACAAGTTACCATAAACTTGGTGGCTTTAAACAATGGGAATTTATCCTATCACAGTTCCCGAAGCTGGAAGTCCACAACCAGTCTCACTGGGCTGAAAGCAAGGTTCTCAGCAGGTGGGCTTCCTCTGGAGGCTCAGGGCGGGGCAGGAGAATTCATTTATTTCTTGCTTCTTCCAAAAACTGGTCATGCCGGCATTCCTTGGCTTGTGTTCCCTCGCCCCTATCCTTAATTCTAGCATCGCCAAATCCCAGTTCTGTCTTCCCATGGCCTTCCTCTGGGAGTCTCCTGCTGCCTGCCTCCAGGAAGCATAGCGCTGATGGCATTCAGCTCTCCCTCTGAGAACCCGGGACAGTCTCCTGTGGCCATGTCCACATACATCCTTTCTCCAAACAGGTCCAGTGCACCAGCTCCAGGGATGAAGCCTTGCCGTCTCCTCTGGCTTCAGCTCTGCTCAGGTTCTCCCTTCTGGGCTGTGGTTCTTCCTCCCGTGGCCCTGAGCGCTGGCTTGTGCAGCTCAGAGTCTTGTTCTGCTGAAAGCTGCTTGCCATGTGTGTCCACTGAATAGGAGGATCCCTCCGCAAGGTCATGGTTACATGGAATTAAAGCGGAAGCCCACATGTAGATATTTTCATGATACTAATTTCTGTGCGCTTTTTCAGAGTCCTGCGATGGGGGCTTAGTGAGCTAAGCCACTGCCTGCAATGCCAGTGTCCTATCTAAGAGCAGGGGTTTCAGTCCCGGCTGCTCCACTTCCCATCCAGCTCCCTGCTAATGTGCCCAAGTGCTTGGACCCAAGTGCTAATGTGCCACATGGGAGACCTGGATGGAGCTTCGTGCTCTTGGCTTCAGCCTGGACCAGCCCTGGCTGTTGGCAGTCATTTGGGGAGTGAACCAGCAGCTGGAAGATCAAATAAATAAATATTCCTAAAGCAGGCCCCTGGCACCGCTGTGGTGCTCCCACTGTTGGGTTTGTGGACAGCCAGGCCACAGCTCATGCATACTTACAGACGTGGGTGTCGGCCTTGGCGTCTTCCTGTGGTGCACAATTCAGCCAGGAAGTGAGTGCTCTTACAGTGTCCACGGTGCAGATAAGGAAGTGGGGATGAGATGTGCGGTCGCCTGCCCCAGGTCCCCAAAACAGGGCTGGCTGAAGGCACTCGGCGCCACCACACATGGCCTCACCGGCAGAAAGAGGGCTTCTCTGTGAAGCCATTCACCAAGTCGCTCCCTTTTGAACTCTAGAACGAGTCTCTGATCGGATCCTACAAACCGCAGGCAGATGCTGGACCTGCCGGGAGAAAGCTGAAAATGCAACTCGGTGCCTACAGGTAACAATGTATCATTAAAAAAAATCCAGGGCTTTCTCTTGATTGCCAGGAGTCCAGGCCCCTCTTACTTCTCTTCTAAAGCCTGCAGACCTGTCACTTTTCTGTGTGAGAGCTGGCAGAGGTGCCCTATGGCCTTGGGTGCTGTGTGGTCTGCGGAGCCCACCCCCAGCCTCCCATGTCTGGTGCCATCTGCCCCGTGGTGTCCCCTCCTGCCACATACCCGTGCCCGTTCTTGGCATTGGCTGGGCAAACACTTCAACACCTCAGCTGCCTCTGGACCGCTTGCCCCTGCCCCATGCCTGTCTCCAGAGGGGCTAAGATGAACATACGTAGCCCAGCCTTGTCTGCCCCGACCTCGAGGTCTGCGTGCATGCTTGTGTCTTAAATTCCATTCCCTGTCAGCAGCAAAGTACTCACAGGGGCCCAGGCTCTCTGCCACTACATTCTTCTGCTGCGATTTCTTTGCAGAATCTGACACAGTGTTTTTATGTGCAGGTGCTTCTGGAGACTAAAATTCAAAGCCAAATCAAATAGGAGGCTGAGGGTGCTTCAAGAAATTCCTGGAACGTGGAATTAAAAGATAAATTTATTTTGATGCAAAAAAAAAAAAAAAGTGAAAGTCATGCATAGGAGAGGTCTTTGAGAAGTTCATGGAAAATTCATGTTATCGGCCGGCGCCGCGGCTCACTAGGCTAATCCTCTGCCTTGCGGCGCCAGCACACCGGGTTCTAGTCCCAGTCGGGGTGCCAGATTGTGTCCCAGTTGCACCTCTTTCAGTCCAGCTCTCTGCTGTAGCCCGGGAGTGCAGTGGAGGATGGCCCAAGTGCTTGGACCTTGTACCCACATGGGAGACCAGGATAAGCACCTGGCTCCTGGCTTCGGATCAGTGTGGCGCGCTGGCCGCAGCAGCCATTGGAGGGTGAACCAACGGTGAAGGAAGACCTTTCTCTCTGTCTCTCTCTCTCTCACTGTCCACTCTGCCTGTCAAAAAAAAAAAATTAATGTTATCAAAAAACTACGCACGGATTTCTATTTATTTATTTTTTTGCACCAAGTAAACTTATCTTTTAATTCCATTTTCCACAAACATTTTGAAGGACTCTCGTATCTATGACCAGCAATGAACACTGGCCATTTGCTGAAGAATAAATAGTTTAACCAAGAAATTCAGCCCATGAATTCAAGTGAAGCAAGGGCTGATACTCTAAGTCTCAGACTCCCGAGTTGGAAACATAGTAAAGAACAGTTGGGAAAGCAGCAGAAGATGGACCAAGTGCCTGGGCCCCTGCCACCCACATGGAGGCCTGGATGGAGCTCCTGGCTCCTGGCCTCAGCCTGACCCAGTCCTGGCCATTGCAGCCATTTGTGGAGTGAACCAGCAGGTGGAAAACTCTGTCTCTCTCTCTCTCTCTGTAACTCTGCCTTTCAGCTATTTTTTTCTTTCTTAAAGTAACAACTGAGACCACCATCGGACCTGGACTGCCCCTGCCTCTCCTCCCCAGGCCACTCCACAGCAGGGGTCATGAATCCAGCCCCAAACTGAGCTCCCTCCTCATCTATTCTGGGTATGAACCCCTTAGTAGATGTATGCTTTGCAAATACAAACCTCTGGTTTATCTCTTCATTCTGGTGATTATTTTCTGTGTTGGACAGATGGCTTTTAGTTTGATGTAATCTTCTTGCCCCCCTCCCTTTTTTTTTTTGCTTTTGTTGTCTCTGATTTGGGTTTCATATCCAAAAAAATCACTGTGCAGGCAAATGTCATGGACATTTTCCCTATGTTTTCTTCTAGATTGTTCTGATGTTTCAGGCAGGTCTTATGTTTAAGTCGTAAATCCACTTCAATTGATTTTTGGATATGGTGTGGGAAGGGGTCTGGCTTCATTCTGCTGCATGCAACTAAGCACTATTAATTGAAGAGACTTGTTCCTGTATTGTGTGTTCTTGGCAATTTTGTCAAAAACTAATTGATCATAATGTAAGGATTGACTTCTGTGGTCTCTATTCTGTTCCATTGGCCTATGTCTGTTTTAATGCTGCGACTAGGCTGTTTCAGTTACTATAACTTCATAGTATATTTTGAAGCCAAGTAGGTGCCTCCAGATTTGTTTAATATTACATTGGCTATTTGGCATTTTTATGGTTCCATATAGATTTTTAAAAATTTCTGTGAAAAATGCCATTGGAATTTCAATAGGGAATGTACCCAATGCATAGATTGCTTTGGATAATAGGATAATAGGAACATTTTAACAATATAAATTATTCCAACCTGTGAATATGGGATATCTTTCTATTTGTTTGTATCTTCCTCAATGTTTTGTAGTTTTTGGTGTACAGGTTTTCCACCTCTTTGGCTAAATTTATTAAATGTAAAAGTTTTTTTTTTTTTTAATAGTTGATGTCACTGAGACTGTTTTCTTGACTTCCTTTTCAGATAGGCGGAATAGATTTGACTGAGCTATGGAAGACAGTTTGGAGATACCTCAGAAATCTGAATATAGTTCTACCACACGACCCAGCCATCCCACTCCTTGGAATTTACCCAAGGGAAATTAAATTGGCAAATAAAAGAGCTACCTGCACCTCAATGTTTATTGCAGCTCAATCCACAATAGCTAAGCCATGGAATCAACCTAAATGCCCATCAACAGAAGAATAGATAAAGAAATTATGGGATATGTACTCTATGGAATACTACACAGTGGTAAAAAAAAATGAAATCCGGTCATTTGCAACAAAATGGAAGAATCTGAAAAACATCATGCTGAGTAAAATAAGCCAGTCCCAAAGGGACAAATACCATATGTTCTCCCTGATCTGGGAGAATTAATAGTGCTCCTAAAATGAAAGCTATAGAAGTGAAACTGACACTATGAGAAGCAATGACTTGATCAGCCCTTGTCCTGACTGTTGAGGAACAGCTTACTATTTTATGCTTTTTATTATTTTCTTTTCTACTTAATACCATTGGTTGAATTCTTTACTTAACAAATAATTATTTTTAGGTGTTTAAATTCAACTGAAAATTGATTCCTGTTAAAAATAAGAGTGGGAATAAGAGAGGAAGTAGATGTACAATTTGGCACATGCTACTTGCCTTGAGACTCCAAATCCCATTAAGTTGGCAGGTGCCAATGCCATCTTACTAGTTAAAGTGATCAGTTTAAGTTCATAACTGATCATGAAGATAGGATTAAGTGTTAAAGGGATCACATAAATAAGACCAGTGTCTGCTAATAATAATTGATAGAATTAAAAAGGAGAGAATGATCCAACATGGGAAACAGGCCACACAGCAGACTCATAGAATGACAAATGTCCTAAACAACACTCTGGCCTCAGAATCAGCCCTTAAGGCAGTTGAATGGTTAAAAAGCCCATGAGAGTTTCTCAGGCATGGAAAGGCAAGACACTGTGGCAAAACAGACCTACATGAAAGATCTCTGTGAGTGAGATCCCAGTGGAAAGAATGGGCCATCAAAGAAAGAAGTACCTTTCTCTGAAGGGGGGAGAGAACTTTGATTATGGCCTTGTCTAAATAAGGTCGGAGTTTGTGAACTCAAGAGGCTTCCATAGCCTTGGCAGCTCATGACCAGAGCCTCGAGTGATTACTGATGTCATAAATAAGAGTGTCAATTGTTAAATCAACAACAGGAGTCACTGTGCACTTACTCCCACGTCAGATCTCTGTCCTAATGTGCTGTACTGTGTGAATTAACAGTAAAACTAGTATTCAAGCAGTACTTTATACTTCATGTGTCTGTGTGGGTGCAAACTGTTGAAATCTTTACTTAATATAGAGTTGATCTTGTGTATATAAAGATAATTAAAAATGAATCTTAATGAAGAATGGGATGGGAGAAGGAGTAGGAGGTGGGATGGTTTGCAGGTGGGAGGGAGGTTATAGGGGGAAGAACTGCTATAATCCAAAAGTTGTACTTTAGAAATTTATATTTATTAAATAAAAATTTTCTATTAAAATAAAGATTTGAGTAAAAGACAAACCCAGCAAGTGCTTGGCTGTGGAGAATCAGCAGGGGCAGTGTGGGTGACTGGGTGTGCATGGTGGGGCCTTGTTCAGAGATGGGCACTGGAATACAGGGGACCAGCACGTGGAAAAAGGGCACAAAAGGGGAATTTTCATAGAGAAGAAGCAGGAGTTAGGAACAGGCAGTGAGTGAGAGGGACGGAACCTGCCTGCTGCCCCTCTGTCAGGAGGCAGCACGCCCCAGGACTGCCTCTGTGGGAGGTGGCAGCAGCAGGTGCAGGAGGGCCCCAGGGGCAGAAGCCAGGAGCCCAGACTCAGTGTGGCCTCAGTTTCCATGTCTGGACCATTCTGGGGATCCTCAGTGGAGAGGGGTTGCTGGGGGGGGGATCACCTAATCCCTGGGAACAGGCCGCTGGATTGCGTGGGAGCTGTCCTGTCTCATTCCCCAGCTGTGCATGACGTCACATCTCCTGGGCCACGCCCACCGCTGGAGCCTGCTGGGAGGAGGGAGGAGGGAGGAGGCTGCGGATCTGCCAGGGCCAAGGCTCACCCAGCCAGTTCTTGGAAGGCTGGAATGTGGGCCACAGGCCTCAGCGGGTGTGTCTCCACAGTCTCTGATGCAGCCACACACGGTGGCCTGGCGGCTCCGGGGGAGCACTTGGGTTGCTCTCCGCACAGCTCAGACGTGCGCCCCCTACTGGGGCCCCTGAGGCTGCCGCTCCCTTTCGCTTCCTTACTCTGCGTGGCAGGCTCCTGCTCACCCTTCAGAGCCCAAAGTCCATTTCCATGTGCCTGGGCTCCAGGCCACTTGCACACCCTTTCCCTGTCCCTCCCTGTCTCCCTCCCTGCCTCCACTTCACGTTCATGCCACCCCCTTTTTTTTCTTTTTACAGGGACTGTGTCTTAAGCACCTCAGCATGTCCAAGTGCCAGCTCAGTGGCTCAGTAGAAGTTGGTTGCTTAGGTCATCCCGACTTGCTGATGCCAGCACGGCAGCTCCTGCTCCCAGTCTCGGGCTCCTTACTGGGTCAAGCGTGTGTGGGTGGGGGAAAAGTGGCGGGAGGGTGCTGCGTGCTGCTTGCTCTGTTCTCTGGGAGGGTCCCTCACAGGGTGCCCCCTGGGTCCCTTCCCACAGTATCACAGATGACAGATGCCAAATGAAAGCAATTAAAGGTTGCACAAACCTAACCGGGCTCCCACAGGGAACAGAAAGACACGCTCCTTCCGGGGCGCTTTGGAGCAGTTGTCCTGCCGGGCACACGCCCATTCTACAGATGTGGAAACAGGACCTGAGAGTGGGCGGGCCTTCTGACCCTGGCCCCCGCCAGCTGCTGCCCCCTGCGCTCAGTGCCTTGGCATGCAGGGTGAGGTTTTCCTTGGTTGTGAGCAGATGGTCTTGTGCCTATACCTGCACCGTCCAACCGTAGCCTGGCCTCCCACACGTCTCGTTTGAAAGTCCAGCCAAGATCTACTTCCCTCCCTGGCTTTCACGCCCTGCTTGGGCCCGATCCCTCCTCTTCACACGCCGCAAGCCTCCCTCTGTACAGGCCTGGCTGGCCCTGGAGCCTGGCCAGCAAGCTGTTTGCTCATGGTGGGGGTGGGGGAGGTGCTTCTACTGCCGACAGGACAGAGGCTCTGGGGCTAGTCCTCAAGAAATTACCACAGCCTGGCCAAGGGGGCCAGCGGTGACATCTACAAGTGTCCCTCCACTCTCCACGGGGAGGCTGGCGGTGGAGAAAGAGGGTGGGCTCATGAGTCAGCTGCGGCCGAGGCGGCCAAGCCCCAGGGCCTCGCTGCTGGGAGCCTGGCCGCCGGGGCACCCCCAGACCGAGCCAAGCCGACAGCCGGGGAGGGAGGCCTGCCCGCCCCGATCTGTGGGAATGAGGGCGGCTGAGTCACCCGTCCAGCTGGACACAGCCACCAGCGCGGGCTGGAAGGCAGGACAGTGTTCCCAGCCAGGGCCGGTGGCCTTGGGACGCCCTGAAGCTGGCGGGGTTTTTTAAAGGGCTTTTGCAGGCTTGGCTGCCCCTCCAGGTGCTGGGCTCAAGCACATTTGCCTGCTGTCAGCTCCCGGGGGGTGGGAGGGGGAGAGGGTGTGGGGGGTGGGGAGGGACCAGGCACACAGCCCTGTGGATAGGGAGCTGGGCTAGAGGTCGGAGGGTTGGAGAAAGACAAGTGCGGGTTCGAATCCCAGGGCAAGAAACTTCTGCTCCACGGCTTCCCGTATGCAGAAAAGGCAATAATGGGGCACATGGCCGGGTGGCACACAGGCCCCTGCCTCTGATGGGGTCTGCTCCTCTCTCTGCGCCCACCCCAGCACCTCCCTGTCTGTGCTATTCAGTGGGCCAGGGCCAGGAGCCCTGGAGGCAGGGCAGGGGTCTTGCACAGTAGGCACAGGAAGGTGCTGATCCTGCAAGCATGGAGACCTCCCCAGCTCTATTTGGGGGTTCCTGCCCAGGGCAACCTGCCCCAGGTACTGTGCAAACCGGGGAGACAGTTTCGCCTGGAGCCACGCAGCTGGGACAGGTACCAAGAGGAAGCCTCACTGCTCAGCCAGTTCCCATTGCAGGGGCGCCTGCGTCCAGCCCAGAGACATGCTATCGAGACGCCGCTCCAGCTGCACCTGCTGCAAAAACAAACCTGCCTTTTACCTGCCAGCGAAGCCTCCCGATCTGCACCTCCCACCTCAGGCTGCCAGAGAGGATCTTCTTCCTGATCACAGCACGTGGCATGGGGAATCATGGGTAGCATTTGGCCAATCAAGGGAGGGACCCAGTACACGTGGGTAGCTGGGCCTTGCAGAGGACCCGACACCAGCAGGAGCCCAGGAGGCCACCAGTGGTGGCTCATGGAGCAGCCCGTGTCTCTGAGAGGGACCCCTGGGAGGCCAGATCTGGCTAGTGGGACCCTGCCTATGCTCAGAGCAGGCGCCCCTGTGCTCCCTCACTAAATGGTGTCTCAGGAGGAGAGGGTGGGCTGCAGCCTTGTAGAATCCAAGCCTCTACACCCTGGCCCAGATTGGGAGAGGGGTTCACTCGGAGGGCCGTGACCGGGAGTCTTGACTTCTTACCTGTTCATTTTTGTCTCATTGCCTAATTGTCCCAGCCACTCCTGGTGTCCTCTGTCTCAGCCACTGGGTGCTGGCATTGTGTTTGAGCACCCGGCAGAAGGGAGAGTGTGTGCAAGGCCCCTGAGGCTGCAGGGGGACAGAGAGGTGGGCAGCACCTAGGCCAGCTCAGGAGGAGAGCTGGTGTGGGGTTCCAGCTTCACAAAGTCTGTGGATATGGAGCTGGCCTGGCTGTTGAGGGCAGCTCGCTCTCTCGATCCACACGAGCCTGAGAACGTGAGCATGGGTTTGCTGGGATGCGGCAACGGCCAGGCTGGAGAATTCACATCACCTTCTTAAGGCTATAGCACCAAGGAAGGCTTCCTGGAGGAGGCAGACCTTGCATGAGACTTGGTGGAGGTCAGCCTGGCCACCTTTCCCTACCTGCTGGAGAGCTGGCTGGCTTGTGAGCCCTGGACAGGCCTTCCCGGCTCGGGTCAGGAGTGGCACAGGGGGTCCTAGCACAGACGTCTGCCTGGGCCCAGCTCAGCTGTCACCGGGCATGGCTAATGTGCTAGGTCCATGTCTCCTGTTTCTCAACAGGGTGGCCTCTGCCAGAGGCTGATGGGAGTAGGTGTCGGGGGAACCAGGGCAGGAGAGGGGAGCAGGGTTTCCTGGTGCTACCTGAGAGATGACCGAGGGTCCGGAGGCCGGGAGCGCCCAGGAAGCAGGGCGAGGGCAGCCTGGAGCTTTCGCTGGCTGTAAAATGATGCTGTGAGCTTGTGGGTCAGGAATACTCCCAGGGTTTGTCCAGAGCCTGGAGCATAGGGAGCCAGGGGCCAGGGTTCTTGGAGTTTCACACACACACACACACACACACACTTGCACACCCACACATGTGCACACACACATGTGCATGTATCATGCGGTATTAGTCAGGTCATCATTACGGCAGTGAAATACCCAAGACTGCTGACTTAATAAAGATAAAAGGTTTACTTAGTCAGATTCGAGACCATTGATCGGGTCTCTGGCGAGGGCGGTGAACAGCTATGGCCAAGCACGTTTGCAAGGGAAGGCATGGGCCGAGCCGGGGAGCAAAGAGAGAGAGAGTGAGAGAGAGAGAGAGAGAGAGGTTGAAGTCAGTCTCAGCTCCCACAATCAACCTGCCCACAAGAGTCGGCTTCTGCGGGCATGTCCCCCATGACCCCGCTCCCTAAGCCCCGTAACTGGGTTGAGTTTCCTCTCTGTCAGTACCGTTACGCTACGACTTTGAGGACAGAATCCCATTCTGATTATAGAGCGTGTGCATGTGGCCCCATGCACGCAACACACACACACACACACACACACACACTGCAGACCTATTGTGTGCCAGGGGGTTGCCAGGAGCTGTGGCGTATCCAGGAGCTCAGATTCTAGCAGGAGAGGCGTGCGTCTGGCCCAAGAAAGCACGAGGCTCTAGATGTTTGCTGGAAGAGCATTATCCCTAGAGTGCTTTGGAAATCCGAGAAGAGAGAGAGAGAGAGGAATCTTGCCGGAGGTGGGGGCTGAGTCCTCAGGGTGGGGGTGGGGGAGGGGCCGGCTTTCCCGGCAGTGGGACAAGGTTGGGCCTGGA